AACGCTTAATTTAGTCCTAAAAGCATAGAATAATGGTAATTATTGGAGAAATAATTTGAGCGGTATTTATCGCTCATCACAGTCGAAGTAAGAGAAACCTCTATAGATCAACTATCACGTTGAGGATATGGCATATTATTAAGAGTAAAATTTTTCAGTTTTGAATGACGCGTTAAGCTAGAAAGCATTTAATTTAGTCCTATTTAGTATTTAGGAATGATTATTTGCAATTCATTAGAATAGGTGCCAATGTGATTATTTGCAAAAGTTATTTTAAAGTATTCATAGCGATTCTATCGATTAGGATCAAATGTTTCGATAATATTTGCCGGAAATATTATCTAACTAATTGGACCAAAAGTAGTACAATATCAGATGTTCATCTATCGTATAATTACGCTCATAATTACGTTCATTAGTGACCAAAATGATAAATGATTTGAAGAAGATAAAGTCTGTCAAAAATAAATCTGAATACTATCTTCACGGATACGATAGCGTATCTATCTTGATTTGAAATAAGATGAAAATTAAATCTACTTTCGATGTAACAATTGGATATGAATATTGACACAATTCTATTTTAGAAAAAATATAAAAATAGCTCTTTTACTATGATAATTAATAATTAAAATTAATTGAATAGTCAATTTACTGAAATCAATATCAAATTATTCAATATGATAATATAAGTAGATTTGACATTTGTATATAATTAATTCAATATTAACGAATCGAAAAGGAACAAAATAATTTTTTGAACATTTGCTTTTATTAAATAATAGTTAGCTTGATGAAATACCAATTGTTCTTAGGCAAATTCTTTTGACTACATCTTTACCTGTATTTTTGTTGAAAGAGAATTGATTTAAATCAGAGTTTGTTTCGTCAATTTCTTCATTAATATAATATTATTTGAGCGATACTATAGTTATTAGGGTAGTAGTTATCATTCTTGAATGCTATCATATTGCTCTTTGTTTAATATATTCATAAATACGATTTATATATTCGCACACATATAATCGAATATTAATAAATAATTGTATCCTGAATTTATATCTAATAATTAACGTTTTTTCTAGCTTTTTAATACATACCACAGAAGGTAATTGAAATATTTCGTTAAGGATATATATATACATTTTAATCATCAGAAGAATTGATAGAAATTCAAGTAATAAGGTATTGAGAAAATCGCTATCATCGTTTAATAACTAATATTCATCTATGATCTTGTATTCTATTCAGTTTTTACTTAATGTATACCATTGGTAGTTTTAGAAGAAATTTCGAATTTTCACGTATATGACTTAATTCTTAATTATGCGGTGTAATTTCAGGACGTTTAGTCACTAATGTTAGCATGAGCATTTTTTCATATCTTTCATGCAGATTTACTAATAGTCAAATAATATGTTTAAGATGAGATCCTTATAGTAATTTTCCTGTGTATTGCTAGCATCCTAATAAGTAATGATTTGCTAAAATATAACTTTGGTTCGATTTGGGTTGAAAGCTTCATATTTTTCTCGGATATTATATTTTAGACTTGACTGTATTTAAACAGAAAACTGTATTTATCTTGATTGCTATGAAAAACCAGAGCATTGTAAGCAAACTTGTAGCAATTAAAATTTCAATGTTAACAACTTGTTATCGTAATTAATGTTACTTGTCATCGTTTTACGTTACAATTTATAATGGGCTCAAATTATCCAACGACATGCTCGATAAATAAGAATAAACCTTTTTAATATCTTTTACCTTAATGGTATAATGGTATTAACCTTATGTTATCGTACTTTCAACTTAGGTATGCACTTACACTGTACATTTGGGAGTAATTATTTCAATTACGGCAATTCAAATAAATTGTATATCAAAGTCAAGATTATTTATGTTTATCACTTTAAACCTAATAGTGGAAATTTTTTATCAATCAAAGAGAATTGTGATATACCATAAAGCTAACACAATAAAACTGATCCGTATCCTTTCTGGATTTTTTCAATTTCTTCTGTGATCCTTTACCATTAGCTTCGATCGAGTCGTGAAGATTTCTCGTTATTGAAAATGGATAATACAACCAATGTAACTCATACCCCGTTAGAAATTATTGCTATCAAATCTATTATTTTTACTATTGCTGCTATTGCTGCTGTTATTGGTAATACCTTGGTTGTTATAGTCATTTTTCAATATAATTCTACTCAAACTGTAACAAACTATCTAGTAATGAATTTATCTATTTTCGGCACTATGAATGGACTAGTCCGTTTGCCTCTCTATATAGTTAATATTATAGCCGATAGGCAGTATTATGATCAAGTTGGTTGTGCCTTTCATGCTTATCTTGGAGGTATAATTTTTATTGGTACTATTCATAATTTAATGTGGATAGCTGTAGTACGCTATCTTGTCGTTGTAAAATCTAAAAAGTTGAAACCAAGACATGCATACTATTTTATTGGTATTATTTGGGCAACATGTACTTTGACACCGGCTGTATCGTTTCTAGGATGGGGTAAATTTGTTTATGTAGAGATTGAGAAAGGTTGTATTCCTAGCTGGGATAAGACTGGCATAATTGGAATAGCTAGAGGCATCTATTCTGCTATTTTCCACTATGCTACGCCTTTACTTACTATAATTTACTGTTATTCATTTATATTTATCTTTCTGGAAAAGAAACAACAACGTATGATTCGGTATTCCTTTCAATCACCAACTGCTATGAATAAGTCAAA